GCTTCCATCACGGACTCCAGCACTGTTTACCCGGGATTGTCTGAGTTTCAGTGGGTTTTATTGAACTTTATTGCAGTTTTTTAGAATCTGATTAAATTTTTACTCCAAAGGGATTCATTGTTATAGAAATCTGTGCATCTGCATCCTAATGTTTTAGGGATAAAAAGGTAAATTATCTAAAGCCTGGTTCAGAATTGTTAGCCAACACCATTTTGTACATCACATGCTTGCAGCAGACATCAGGACTGAAGTTGGACTTTCTCAGAAAATTGCTCAGACTGATGCATTCACACAGGTGATCTCCATTTCAGCCAGCCTCTGGCACTGGTGAATTCAGATTGCCTTTATATATTTTTTTCTTTCCCTTTTAGGTAGGGAGTAAAAAAATTGTCTGTTGGGTCTGTCCACACTTTGCTGATGTTTTTTTAAAAAAAAAATCTAAACTGCTGTATTACAAAAGGGTAAATGACATCCACAATTGCATTTTGGTCAGAGTGTGTTGTATTCTGTATTATCAAGAAGATATTTGGATGCTGTTGTACATGCTGTACCTTTGATTGCTGGAGGAATATAGAATGTTAATGCTTTTTATATCTTTGCTATTAGGTATCAAATGAACCTGGCAACCGCTACAACATCCAGCTGATTAATGCACTGGTGCTCTACGTAGGTACTCAAGCTATTGCGCACATTCACAACAAAGGCAGCACACCCTCTATGAGCACCATTACCCACTCAGCTCACATGGACATCTTCCAGAATTTGGCAGTAGACCTGGACACTGAAGGTGAGCTGGAAATGCTTCTAGTTCAACAACATTGAATTTAACAGCAGATTGTTTGAGCTATGAGAAACACAGAGATCACTTCGTGTAGCTGTTAGTAAATTCACAATAATTAATGCTATGTTAGAATATTAAACTGGATACAGGAGCAATAGTAAAACCAAATGTTCAAGGTATTCAAGGGAATGAGAAATAAGATTAATAAGGAGGAACTGAATTCTTACTGCTCCCCTCAGCTTGTGTTCATCAGACGTTTTCATATCTTCAGTATTTGTTTCTTGTACCTTCATAAGGGCTCACAAACCTTAAACTAAGCTAGTTTCTGCTTTATTACTCTGTGTGTGTGTGTCTGTGTGTGTGTCTGTGTGTGTGTCTGTGTGTGTGTCTGTGTGTGTGTCTGTGTGTGTGTCTGTGTGTGTGTCTGTGTCCTGTCTCTT